ATTCTTGAACCCTGATTCAAGCTAAAGAAAATTTAAACAAGGCGATATAAATACCTGGCTAAGGTTATTTAGAAGGGTTTTGGAAAAGATGGAAAAGGGGAATACTTACTTGAAATTAGAAACATAAAACAAATTCAGAGAGGTAATGCCGTAACAGATCTTTTGAAGGAATCTGTAGTTCTAGTACATGAAGAAAAATTACCAAGATTATTATGGAAGATGGGAGTTGTACAGAAGTGTCATCCAGGACGAGATGGGAAAATAAGAGCTTGCACTGTCCGTTTAGCTAATGGAACTTATCTTTGTCGTCCTGTGCAGTTATTGTACCCATTAGAAATGACTGGAACTCTTTGAACTGAATACAATGAACTTAAATTGCGAACACTGCATCTATGAACACTTAAACTTGTAGAACATTAAAAGCATTTATTGTTTAATTTTAAATTATTTATTGTTTGTGCTAAGATGTTGCAAATAAATTGTTCTTAGAACATGTAGGGAACGAAGTTCATTTCATCACCTCTGTGCATTTTAAGCTTTGCAAGATTTGTAATTTATTCAAAACAAAAGAGTTTTCATTTTATCTGCGCTTCATAAAGGCGTGTTTTAATTGTCTTTTTTTCCTAAATAATCATCGTGCAAAAAAAATTAATAATTTTATTTTAGTATCTGAATTTTATTTAAAGTGTTAATTTATGTTTCGAGCTTTTAAAGAGTAAATTCTTCCTCACATTTTATTTTGCATTCAGTATTTTATTTCATGCCTTTAATTTTCTCGTAAATTTCCTGTATAAGTAAATTTATTTTTTACATTTTACTTAAATTTTTCATACATTCGTTGAGAAGCTTCGACTCTTTTCAAGTGTAACTTTACTTTTCATATTTTTATTTTACAATTTTTAATGCCCTCTTTCTAGCTTTTGGTAATAAGTTAATTTTTAACATTTTATTTTCAAAGTTTGTTTTTAACATTTTCTTTCATTTTTCAATTCCATTTTAGGATTTCGTTTTCGTCGAATAGCATTTTAATAAGATTAGTTCTTCTAAAATTACTTTATCTTTTTTCGTTATGTATTTTATTCAAACGTAATGTTCATTGTACTGATTTTTCTTAAAATTTCTTTATTTGTACATCTTGTCAAGAAATGTCAAGAGAAAACTTAGTCTGCATTTTAATTATTATTTATCTTGGAAAGCCGTTTTACAAACAGATTCATTCTTTGAATTTAATCTTAGTTGTTCATGACTAATTTCTAACGTTTCATACACGTTTTATCTGGGATATACTAAAATTTTAAATAAACGTCAAAGCTTTATGCTTATAATATACAATACAATGCAATTTCTGGGAATTTATATTTTCAATATATGTAATGTAGATGTGTAGAATTTATCTGACACTAGCACAAGAAAATAGAAATGCAAATATCTGGGGTTGGTATTTTGGGTGAACGATTTCTTTAGTCTTACGATGTCCACACATTTTACAAATATTCTTATTTGACATCTGAAACTGAACCACCATCCTTGTCTACGGTGTCAACCGATAACATCGCCGCAAAAACATAATAGTAATTGTAAATGGATATTCCTATAATGATTGAGCGCAAGATGGAAAGAAGGATAATTTTTACTTTCATATTTTTTATTAACTAATACATTTTTGCTGATAAAGTAAGAAGGAAACTTAAGCATAGAAAAGTAATGCAACTTATAGCACTTAACAGAATTTTAAACCGACATAGTTAACTAACAAAGGTCATTAATAAATTACTTAAGCTTTTACTAGTAAATTTTCATGAAAAGTATAATCTAAAAAAAGCCTGAAAAAAATAAAGCATGTCTGCGATGTTATCGTCATGCGATGATTTGTAGATACTTTATTTTTTACCACGATATTTTCGAAGACGACGTTTTCAAACTGCGAAGTTTTTGAACGGCTTTATTTTCGACGACGATATTTTGTACCACGATGTTTTAGACCTGCGATGTTTTCTCCCACGATGTTTTGTAGCACGACGATATCGTTTTCCGTTGTTTTCAGTTATTCAGTTAGAGTTCAGTTAGATTTTCATCTTCCGTTGTTTTCTCCGCGACGTTTTGGTCCGCAATATTTTTGCCGCGATGTTTTCAGCTGTGACCCTTGTCTACATTTCTGGGAATCCATGTCGCACAATCGAAATATTAAAAATGTTCTGTGATAAAAATATTTTAACTTTCGCTTTGATTTTCCAATTAATATTTGTTTTTTTTTTTTTTTTTTAGTTGTATTTCTTGGGAATATAGTATTTTCTTTTAATCCTTCATTTTCATTATAGCTCATGGTTGATTTCTAAAACCCACAAGAAGTGTCAAGAGATGTCTGAAATCATTTCCTGTTTCCTTATCTTAAACGGATAAGAAACTGTCTAAATAGAATGTATCTGAAATGAAGCTTACATTGTTCTGTTTCCGATATTTAGATACCGATTAAATTTTAATGTGTATTTTTGATGGAGTTTTTATTACTGTGAATCTTTAACGTGAATTTTGTGTTTTCAGATATCAAACTAAGACGAATTCTTTAATTTTGCTAGGCAATAAATCACAACATCAAATGTTTTACTTCTAATAGTCAATTATAATAATCATTTAAGTTCAGTTAGAGGTAACCATTAAATAAAATTAACATATTTTCTTTTATATTATTCTATCACTTTCAGTATTCTGTATATTACTACAGTCCAGTGGGTAGTATAAAATAAAAATAGAAGGAAAAACCGAATTGTATCCGAATTACAGTGCAGAGAGATTAACACAACAAACTAAATTATTACGATATTAAATCTAGTCTAATTCTAAATACACTATGCATGTTCAATTTAGGTTTCTGAAACAAAAGTTTATTGTGTCATTCAGGGAAACTTAAAATACATTTTTTAACAGGAAACACAATTAAAAATACACCTAAGGTAGGTTTAGGGTAAAACTTCCTTTTCTAACTATTCCAAATAAGACTTAGTTTACTCATAATTTAGCTGTATCATTTTAAATTTAAAAAGAGGATATTTAAACTTTCGTTTTATTTTTATAGGCAGCATTAACAATGCACTAAACTAGTATTTGTTTCTCTTAAAATTAACATATTGATTGAAAAAAATAATTTAGTGGAAATAGTTTAGTAGGATGTTTTCTGAAAGGCTTTATATCGTATGTTTAAAAATCAGCATCCATCAGATGAATAATTTGTAAAACGGAAATAATTCTACGAGAACTGCTTCAGAGAAAGGTTTTTGGAAAGTAATGTCCAAAATAAAAGTTAAATATCTAAGAAACAATGCCTTAAAAATTATATTCAACCACAATGAAGGCATAAATTTTAATGAAAGTACAAAATATGAGTGTTCATTTTGAGATGTTTGTCATTTATAATACTCTGAAATAATACGGAGTTATCTCATTTTTATACAGTCTAACTTAAATGCCGAGTTGTATACATTTTTGTGATTGTATCTCTTAAAATCTCAGTACATTCAGGATTTTAGATACTTTCGAGGTTTCAATATTGTGACAGAGAGGGAAAAAAGACTTAAATAATAGTATAGTGATAATAAAGGAGGTTAATTCTTGTAATGTTTATATTTTTTTAACTATGTAGATGTTTGTGAGTTTGAAATGTTTTTGTCATGAATTTCTTTCTTTAGGAAAATACATTTTATGTATATTGAATTGGAAGTAAGGAAGTAAGAAAGCATCTAATATCTTTTACTGTAACAGTTCAGTTCCAATTTTTGCACTCTGTACTAGTAATGTAAATGCGTATTAATAGTGATTTGAATCAGGTGACTTAAAGGAATTAAAGATGCTAAAGGGAGAAAATGTCGTGGAATCGTTTGTGAAAGTTTCGATCAGAAAAATAATCAAATACTGGTATACATTTCAAGAAAATCATATAACGTTCGGTGTGGAATACGGACATAAATAAAATTAGATTTCAAGGGAAAGGAAATAAGAACTAAAATTATATGGAATATAAGGACCGAAACGTAATATAAATTAGAAGACAAAGTTTAATATTAAAAACATGGAATAGCATAAGTATTAAAAGAGGATTAGCAAATTTAGGAAGTAATGGATAAATACATAAGGAAAACTAAATGGCTTTTGAATAATGAGACATGTGTAAAATCTGATGTTCCCAAAATAAATCATTTAAAACAAAGAGCAAAAATTATGATGGGAAGAAATATTATTAAAGTTCAGAAGTTAAAAATCAATTATGATAATAATATTATGTCTTTAAGTCATCAATTACACATAATGTCCAAAAATAAGTACTTTGGATTCTTAAAAATATTATACTCTGAAAGGGTTATTATTAAAAATATTATTGTTTTAAACAAAGTTTTAATTTCTGAATGTATACTAAGGAAGTCATTGGTTTGAACTCGTTTTCACTCACAGTTAAAAATTTTGCTTTAAGAAAATAGTTTTATGAATTCCTTTTATCTCATTGTATATAAGTGTATTGAAGTGTATCATTGTATATAAGTGTATTGAAGTGTATTGAAGAAATTTTTAAAAATGTTTAATCCCATCGAATCTTTTTGCAGTGTATCTTCTCCTGAAGGAGACGGACCTTCATCTAATTAATAAAATTTCGTTGAAAAGTTATGCCAAATTAATTTTGCTGTTTCGCTTCATTTAAAATTTTGCATTTCCGTGTTTCTCTTCAATTTTAATAATATGTATTGCGATTCAATTATTTGTATTTTTCCAAATCGTGAATACGGGGTATATTTTAATAAAGGTTTGATAAAGATTTAATAAAGGTTAATGCATTTGATATTTGACGGGAGACATGGATACCATGATTTGACAAACAGGCTAGGTGCTATTGTCTGGCGTCTTGGCAAGATATAACATTGTAAGATAATGTAGGTGTTGTAGTGCAGGATATAATTACAAAATTGACATAATTATTACATCATTTCAGGTAAGCGATAAATGGAGGAAAGATATTGAACAAGTATTGTCATTTATGTTGAATGCAATCGTGGCTAAAATACACGAAACTTACATGAGAGAAACTAGTCGTTGCATAAGCATCCATTTTATATTGAACATGCGTTTACTAATAATATTAAATGATACATTTTATGCCAACATTGAAGAGTATTTTATTGATGTACATTTTCGAAACATTTGTGAAAGAGAAAACACATTTTAAAATTTTGGTTAACATTATGCTGAATAATAATTGCCACAGATTTTAACACTTTTCCTTTATCTCTGTTAAGAAGTTTCATTGAATCGAAAGAGGCATATTCAGATGTCTTCTCTCAAACTTTCCTAAATCCTGGAAAAAAAATCAAGTAATTAATACAAATAAACTAAAGTACGAATAATTGTAATAATGAAGTGACCAAGTCGTATGTTGGAATTCGCGTAAATGTGGAATGAAAAGTGAAATTTCAGGGAATAGACATAGATTTTGAAATCCTTAGCTTGATAATTTATGACTTTTATTGTTTATACACCAAACGACCACTGGAGTATGAAATGAAGATCACAGGCAAAATTTGAGCTTGTTTAAACAGATTTACCAAAAGCAATTATTTTTAACATAATTCTGTGTAAGATTTATTAACTTCAGAAAAACGTTTCCGTTGGATGTGGTTTCGTATTCCTGTGTGCATGAAAAATCTCATATTTGGAAATAATTTGCGTTTGTAAAATTCAAGTATAAAAAAAATTGCGTATTAATTAAATGTAAAATATGTATATTAGTTAAATAATTTTTCAATTTTGCTTTCTTTTATATTCAGTGTTACTGATAATAAAAATATGATATGATATTTAACAAAATATTAATAATATTTTTATTTGTTAATGTTTAACAATAGCTTCAGATGTTTAATTCGTAAAGAGTATCTATGCGTTTTTAGCAAGCCTCATTCTTCTTCTCTAATAAGTACAAATATTTTTCTCACGTAAAATGAAAGCTGCTTTGCGTTCTTTTATTTTCCACATGATATTGCTATAAATTTTACTTCCTAATTAATACCTTAATAAAAAATTCCTTACTACACTTAACATTGTGGTCACAATCTCCATTATTCAAATTCGAACTTTTAAAGACAGAAACAAAATGGGGGACCAATTACAAATTTTTGGGAAATCAGGTAAGATCGAGAAATGTATACATCAATTGCCAGGAGAATGGCAAGTTAAATAAATATCTAATTTGAACTTCGGACCTTGAAAACACATGGACGTACTAACATACACTAATTAAAATATATACTAATTCCCTGTATTAATCCACGGCTTTCCTGAAGTTCCCTTTCGCCGATGTGTTTACGGTAGTTTGGCTGTATGGCTTTAAAAAATAACGTCTGTTTCGCCCGATGTTGTATACAACCGAGTTGAGAAAATGAGGCTTAATCGTCGATCCTAATTTTTATTACTCGAAGTTTGCAGCAAATGCTTGGTGATTATGTATTGCAGAAGTTCTGCTTCTCCCGAAGGAGAGAAATGATGTCAGATATAAAACTTATTTTTGTCGACATGTTTCTAAATTACACTTTTCTAACACTCTTCGTGGAATGAGACACGGATTTTCGTCTTAGTGGTTACAAATCTGCTCTATTTTGTTCGTATAGTTTAAGAACAACCTGTATTTTTCATTCTTCGAATATTTCAAACAATATTAAAAGTAAATTATACCAAAGCGTTTAACTTTTTACCAGCTGTTTCACTTCATTAGATAATATTAAAAAATTTTACATTTTAATAGATTACAAAATTATCTAAATAGATAGAAATATTACGCAATTACCTAAGATATACCAGAATTTATCTTCCATCGGCAAACGAATACCTGGGCTGTGGATCAGGGTCTGGCATAGCATGGATGATAGTCAAAGTTGCCATCGCCAAAGCCACAACGAAAACTAGACTGCGTTTCAGAAACTCCATTCTCTAGATTCAAAAAATATTTCTGTATGAATATCTTACTATGAATCTGTCCTTTTATACTACAACATAGCCTAAAAAAATGTGCAGTGTCATAAAAATTAAGGACAAGACTGAAAAAAATGTGCAATCTCATAAAAATTAAGGACACAGGAAGATGATTTATAGTTAAAGGCGAAGTGATTTTTAAAATATTATGTCTGTTATGAACAACTGCAACTCTTAAAATAAATTTATTTAAAAAAAGAAATGTATTTACATCCACCCGGTGGTATTTTTTTTACTTCGGTGATTCAACACGGTTACGGTTTTTTTATTAGTATTCCGAAATGACCCTCGCACTTTGCGCATTGATTATTTTACCTTGCAATATGAATCTCACTCGAAATCTGACTAGTCATGACTGGCAGAAACCTTTCTGTGTAGGAAACTTTCTTTCAAGAATTTACGTTCATAGCGTTTGGTGGTTCAAAACTAGATCTTGACACTATGTAGTATCGGTAGTGGTATTTTATCCCCTTCTTCTTGAACAGCTTTCCAAAGTCTAAGGAGATCTGTAGGTCGGCATTTGGCCTTGCGTCTTTGAGAAGTCAAAAGCACCAAACTTCATGGGTCATAAAACAGGACATTTGGTATGTTCAGTAGTGATTAAGAGTTGCCGACAGGAGGCGCTGCTAGCGCGTCATATTCTCGACTTACGTAATTTGAATTGAGTATTCTTTTGTTTTTCTACTTGCTGTAACAGATCTTACAGCTTTGTGATTGAGAATTTGAAATGTTTTGGAGCCAGATCGCTCCTCTACAGCAACAAAATTATTAATAAATACATAATAAAGTAAATATCTTTGTGATGATAATGTTTGTTATTAAATACAAAGTCAACCAGCTCCTGAGTAATATTTAGAATCTACTTGTAAGGACGAAGCTCTGAGAGTAATACAGTCTATTTCTATTTCGGATACAAATTTCGATATAGCTTGGAAACTTTTAGAAGATAGGTATTCGAATAAACGTGAGCTTTTAAATGCTATAATAAAAAGTTTTTGAATCAGCCGAGTATTAGCGAGGCATCTACTTCTATTCTAAATTTAATTGATATAACGAACGAGTGTATTCGATCTTTAAATACTTTAAATTACAAAGTAGAAAACTTATCGGAAATCATGATAGTATATTTAGTAGTGGATAAGTTTGATAAATCAACTCGATACTGGTGGGAAAAGGAATTATAAAACTCGGAAGAATTCGGTACGATTGAACAATTACTTTCGTTTTTACAAAGCCAAGCGAGAACGCTTTAAAATAGTAAAATAAAGGAGGTAAAAAAGAGTAATAATTCTCCACATAAACTTACGAGTATGATATCCACTTCTAATACGAAAATCATAATTTTGAAGTGCATAAAGCGCCGTGGTGGAGAATTCCATTCATTATATAAGTGTGCGGAATTTATAAATCTTTCTGTCAAGGACAGGTGTGAATTCGTGAAAAGAAATAAGCTTTGTTTTAATTGTTTGAAAAACCATTCCGTTCGAACGTGTTTGTCTAATTATCGATGTCAAAAATGCTCACGAAAGCATTCAACGCTGTTACATTTCGAAAATGAAAAACAAAATAAATCCGAAAGTGCTCATATTTCAAAGCCGGAAGTAGGGGGATGGAGAAGACGACAGTCAGTCTTAATCCGAATGCAGAAAAATTTTTTATGACTCTTCTTCTACCAATAAAGAAAGTATTTTCGCCGGCACAGCTGTAAACAGAATGCGTCAGACCAAAAATATTTTACTTTCTACTGCGAATATTTTAATCAGAGATTGTTATGGTGAATTAAAATCAGTTCGCGCTTTATGTGATGTAGATTCGATGACGTCATTCTTAACGATTGAATGTGCTAATTCGTTAGGGATTAAAAGAGAAAAAATATCTGTTGCGGTTTCTCGATTAAATAACACGAGAATAAATATTAATTCTAAAGTATGTGCTTCTATTTCAAGCGGTATTGACTTTGAAATGTGTTTAGAATTTTTGTGAGTGTCTAAAATCTCGGAATCCATACCAATAAATAATATAGAAGTTCCGACTGAACATTAACTTAACATCCGAAGACACATTTGAATTATTATTACTCAAAACATTAAGTTTGCTGATCCAAACTTTTTTAAAAGAAAAAAAATTGATGCATTATTAGGCGCAGAGTTGTTTTATCAGATCTTAAAATTCGGTCAAGTTAAAGTGCCCAATTCAGAGCTAAGATTTCAAAATTCTGTTTTTGGCTTTATAGCCACTGGCAGCATTTTAAGTTCAGAGATTCAAAATACGCGAATGGTTCACTGTGGATTAATTAATACTTATAGTGGTATAGAAAATGAAATTAAAAAATTTTGGCAACTTGAGTCTATAGGAATTAAAGATGATCCCAGTGAAAATGAGATAGATCAATCTTTAGAAACATTTGAAAAAACTGTTCGTTTTAAAGATAACCGGTATGAGGTTCAGTTACCATGGAAAAGAGATTGGGGAGAGTTCAATAATAACTTCATCGTTGCTAAAAAAACAGACTTAATTTACTTATGCGTAGACTTCAAAAAGATCCAAATCTTCATTTGCAGTATATTTGAAACTTTAAAAGATAGTATATTGAAACTTTAAAAGGACTATGAAAATAAGAATATTATAGAGAAAGTTAGATGTCCTAAAGGAACCTGTTGATAAACCTGTGTTCTATTTGCCACATCAACCAGTTTTTAGAGAGGAAAGTGCAACTACAAAAATGAGAATAGTATTTGATGCAAGTTCCAGTCATAACTTTAAGCATTTAAGTCTAAATGATTGCCTGTGGTCAGGGCCAAACCTGAATTCGAACATATTCGACATTCTTGTTAATTTCAGATTAAACAAAGTCGCCTTTACTTCAGACATAGAGAAAGCTTTCCTACAAATTTTATTAGCCGAAAAGGACAGAGATGCAGTTCGTTTTCTGGGAAGAAAATGGTAAAATTCAAGTTTACAGATTTAATCGTGTTCTTTTTGGTGTTACGAGCAGTCCATTCCTTTTGACTGCTACTTTGAAAACTCACCTGAGAAAGCACTCTGAAGAATTCCCGACTACAACAGAATGCTTAGAACGCTGTTTGTATGTTTGTATGTGGATGATTTTATTTCTGGAGCTGATAATGTGTCGGATGCTTTTGAGATCTCCACTCAAGCTACATCAATTATGAGCCAAGCTAGCATGGTGCTACGAAAATGGACTACGAATGACAATACATTGATGCAGTTTTGGACACGTGAAGGTTTCGATACACAGCCACAAGTCAACACTATTAAAGTTTTGGGACTGTCGTGGAATCCTGCTGAAGATTGTCTAATATTGGGAAAGCAGAGACTAGTGGATAGTACGAAAGTACCAAACGATTCCTGCTACGTACAATTGGAAAAATTTTTGATCCGCTTGGGTTGCTTTCACCGTTTACTATTCGCACAAAGTTCATTCTGCAAGTCTTATGTGATGAAGAAAATTTCTTGGGATGAAGAAATACCTGTAGATCTACAAAACATATGGCTTCAGTGGTGCTCCGAGGTTCCTGATCTTTCAGAGTTACGAGTTCCTAGAAACGTGCTCAATTTAAATATACAAGTGCCAACCGATATCTTAGAACTACACTGCTTCTGCGATGCTAGCCAAAAGGCTTACGGTGCTGCTATTTATGCAAGAGTTGTGAAGGATAATAACATCGAAGTGAATTTATTGGTTAGCAAGAGTCGAGTGACACCACTAAGGAAAATCACTCTTCCTAGACTAGAATTACTCGGTGCTTTGCTTGCCGCCCGACTAGCGCGAGTAAAGTCAAGAAAACAGTGGATTTAAAAAAGCCCTCCTTAGTGTTCTTTTGGACGGATTCAAAAATAACTCTCTATTGGATTAAAGGATCTACGAAACGATGGAAATCATTTGTTGCCAATAGAGTTAACGAAATACAGAGTTTAAGTGATACCAGTGCCTGGGCACACTGCCCTGGGAAGCAAAATCCGCTGACATTTTATTGAACAGTGACATTTGGTGGCATGGACCCCAATTTTTGAGAGAAAAGACTGATGTTCCGGTAGACAATAATGACATTCTAATTTCATTAGATGACTTTTCTGATGAACTAAAAAGAAAACTGATGACTCTAATGATCATTCTCCTATTGCCTTTACTGTTTTAAATCATAGTTCTATAGTTGATGATATTCTTTCCTTGAGTAATAATTATTTAACTATTGTTCATGTTATGTGCTATGTATTTAGATTTATCAATAATGTTAGAAATGAAAAGCTTACAGGTCACCTTACATTTAGCGAGTTGAGAAGAGCGGAAATCTATTTATTTAGGTCAATCCAACAAGGTGAGTTTGTAGATGAAATAAAACATCTTGAGAGAGGTGCCTCAGTGCCCAGCAACAGCAAGGTAAAATCTTTAAACTGTTTTTTAGATAAAGACAATGTTCTAAGGGTTGGAGGCAGACTGAAACATTCTGACCTCAGTACATATGAGAAAAATCCAATTGTTCTGCCAGATAAGCATCCATTATTAACTTTAATAATTGTGAGATATTATCATTTAAATATTTGCATGTTGGTTCAAATGCATTATTGTATCATGTTCGACGTAAATTTTGGGTCTTAAATGGCAGAAATGTTTGTCGTAAAGTTCTTTTTTTTTTTCAATGTATATTATAACTTGTTTTAAAAACAAACCTGTTTTTGAGACTCAGATAATGGGTGATCTGCCCAAAGAACGAGTAACACCTTCTTACCCATTTAGTAATGTTGGAACTGATTTTTGTGGACCATTCCACATTAAATTTAAAAATCAGCGTAAAGGGAAAACTAAACAAAGTTTATGTGTGCATATTTGTATGCTTAAGCACCAAAGCCATCCATTTAGATTTTGTCTCTGATCTTACTTCAGATGCCTTTATAGCTTGTTTGAAAAGATTTTTTAGTCGCAGGGGGTAAATGTGCAAAATTATTCAGTGA